ACTTAAAATATCCTTTTGTGCTATACTTGAAGAACAGTTTAAATTTATTTTAAATGTGTTCCTGAACATTTTTATCAGCATTTAAGCATATTACTAATTTATTACTAGTATACTCCAAGAGCTTCTTTATGAAACCATTCAGTATGAGAATAATTCATTATTAATGCATTAAAAATATCTTGCAAATTGCCCTTTTAGCATAATAACAAAAATCAGTAAAAATATTAAAAATATTTTACAACACACACACATACAGACAACTAAAAACCTTTAATTTTGTGTACATTACAAAAATACATTCCTGTACATTAAAAGGTACAGCAGCATGTATCACATCTTGACCAAAATACCTTCAAATCAAAATAAAATCAGTAAAATGATGACATATAATCAGTATTACTGAAAAGTACACTATAAACATCCCATCATTAACGTTACCCATGGGGGTCCCTCGGACTCTGGGCACGGCTCAGATGACCTCACGGCAAGCCATCCCACTTCTGACACCATATGTGTCACCCTGCCCAGATTCAAACACAGGTCTACAGGATACCAAACATGCAACTTTGACAGCAACGCCAAAGAGCCAGGCTCGTTGGTATGGCAGTCCAAGCGCTTACTCAACTGTAGTGAAGGTACTTCGTCGCAAGCTTACAGTACAAATGGCGGAACCAAACTGAAACTGAAAAATGCCACAATCCTTATCCTTGGAGTGGAGGGACGGTTATCTTTGAGTAGGACTCTCTACATTTTCTGCGACTGCAGACACTATGGGATTTGGAAACTGCTTTATCACACAGCATCTGTGGAAGGGAAAAGGAAATATTTTGTCTATTTCAAAACAATATTACCTCTATTTAATTAACAAACACTGTCAGATTTTTTATTTTGTTTAAAGTTGCTGAAACACAAAATTACATCATGTCTAACTGTTCTGATAGAGCTAACCGTTTAGGTTCAGGTGAAATGGTTTTCCACAAGGGACCCCTCCCAGTTAATGCTCAGTTCTTACATTACAACATGATCAAAACATTACGTAAACACTACTGTACATTCAGCCAAGGAGCTGTATATGATAAAATGTTATTAAACAGGTACAACAAATAACACAAACATACAGATTTGCTTAACAACTGTTCTGTCTACATGTCATTTCACATTAACACAGCAGTCAATTTGTGAAGTACAAAAGTAGCCAATTACTTAATGTATAACAATATTTTAAATAAAATTATTTTTTCACAAGAATATTTGGCTCGTGTGCAGGAGCCAGACATACCTATGAGCACATATGAGCTCCAGCTGGTCCTTTGAGGTTTTGGTGGCCAGGCATTGCAGTACATAAAAACATTATTTCAAGTGTGTCTTAAAACAATTCTCACATACACATGTAAACTTTAACATTGCTGTTATAACTGAGTTATTGGTCACTGTAATAATTCCCCCTCCATGGTTGCAGTGAAGAGAAATCTCTTAAAAACAGTGTACCTTTAGAAGATATCCACTTTTGAATAGTCTAATGCAGATGCTTAGCTGATAATTCATAGTAGCTTCAGCTAAACTTTAGAATGAATTTATACAAAAAAGACAACTGTGGTGATGTCTTTACAGACTATATGGGCAGGAATAATGATTACAGTGACCAATAACTTCCTGTAAACATGGAGTATTAAGGTAGACTATAAAAATGTGAACCTTTAGCACACAGACAGCAACATATTAGTTCTGTGATTATCTACAGTAAAACAATCATAACTGTGATTATCTACAGTACAACGATGATAACTGTGATTATCTACAGTACAACGATGATAACTGTGATTATCTACAGTACAATGATCATTACTGTGACTATCTACAGTAAAACGATCATAACTGTGATTATCTACAGTACAACGATGATAACTGTGATTATCTACAGTACAACGATGATAACTGTGATTATCTACAGTACAATGATCATTACTGTGACTATCTACAGTAAAACAATCATAACTGTGATTATCTACAGTACAATGTTCATTACTGTGATTATCTACAGTACAATGATCATTACTGTGATTATCTACAGTAAAACGATCATTACTGTGATTATCTACAGTAAAACGTTCATAACTGTGATTATCTACAGTACAATGATCATTACTGTGATTATCTACAGTAAAACGTTCATAACTGTGATTATCTACAGTACAATGTTCATTACTGTGATTATCTACAGTACAATGATCATTACTGTGATTATCTACAGTACAATGATCATTACTGAGACTATCTACAGTAAAACGATCATTACTGTGATTATCTACAGTACAATGATCATTACTGTGACTATCTACAGTAAAACGATCATAACTGTGATTATCTACAGTACAATGTTCATTACTGTGATTATCTACAGTACAATGATCATTACTGTGATTATCTACAGTAAAACATTCATAACTTTGATTATCTACAGTACAATGTTCATTACTGTGATTATCTACAGTACAATGATCATTACTGAGACTATCTACAGTAAAACATTCATAACTTTGATTATCTACAGTACAATGTTCATTACTGTGATTATCTACAGTACAATGATCATTACTGAGACTATCTACAGTAAAACGATCATTACTGTGATTATCTACAGTACAATGATCATTACTGAGACTATCTACAGTAAAACGATCATAACTGTGATTATCTACAGTACAATGATCATTACTGTGATTATCTACAGTAAAACGATCATAACTGTGATTATCTGCAGTAAAACGATCATAACTGTGATTATCTACAGTACAATGATCATTACTGTGACTGTCTACAGTAAAACGATCATAACTGTGATTATCTACAGTACAATGATCATTACTGTGACTGTCTACAGTAAAACGATCATAACTGTGATTATCTACAGTACAATGATCATTACTGTGACTATCTACAGTACAATGATCATTACTGTGACTGTCTACAGTAAAACGATCATTACTGTGATTATCTACAGTACAATGATCATTACTGTGATTATCTACAGTAAAACATTCATAACTTTGATTATCTACAGTACAATGTTCATTACTGTGATTATCTACAGTACAATGATCATTACTGAGACTATCTACAGTAAAACATTCATAACTTTGATTATCTACAGTACAATGTTCATTACTGTGATTATCTACAGTACAATGATCATTACTGAGACTATCTACAGTAAAACGATCATTACTGTGATTATCTACAGTACAATGATCATTACTGTGACTATCTACAGTAAAACGATCATAACTGTGATTATCTACAGTACAATGATCATTACTGTGATTATCTACAGTACAATGATCATTACTGAGACTATCTACAGTAAAACGATCATTACTGTGATTATCTACAGTACAATGATCATTACTGAGACTATCTACAGTAAAACGATCATAACTGTGATTATCTACAGTACAATGATCATTACTGTGATTATCTACAGTAAAACGATCATAACTGTGATTATCTACAGTACAATGATCATTACTGTGATTATCTACAGTAAAACGATCATAACTGTGATTATCTACAGTACAATGATCATTACTGTGACTATCTACAGTACAATGATCATTACTGTGACTGTCTACAGTAAAACGATCATAACTGTGATTATCTACAGTACAATGATCATTACTGTGATTATCTACAGTACAATGATCATTACTGAGACTATCTACAGTAAAACGATCATTACTGTGATTATCTACAGTACAATGATCATTACTGAGACTATCTACAGTAAAACGATCATAACTGTGATTATCTACAGTACAATGATCATTACTGTGATTATCTACAGTAAAACGATCATTACTGTGATTATCTACAGTAAAACGATCATAACTGTGATTATCTACAGTACAATGATCATTACTGTGACTATCTACAGTACAATGATCATTACTGTGACTATCTACAGTACAATGATCATTACTGAGACTATCTACAGTAAAACGATCATAACTGTGATTATCTACAGTACAATGATCATTACTGTGACTATCTACAGTACAATGATCATTACTGTGACTGTCTACAGTAAAACGATCATTACTGTGATTATCTACAGTACAATGTTCATTACAGTGCTTTTCACAGCACACTGTTGGTTAATGTGATTATCTACAGTACAACGATCATAACTGTGATTATCCACAGTACATTTTTGGTTACTGTGATTTTTAGGGTAGCAACCTGATTACTGTGATTTTCACAATAACTCTTTGATTACACAGTATGTTACTGTGTATTAGTATACTGTAACTAACTGTGCACAAACACAGTAAATTACTGTGGATTTCACAGGCATTTTTTACAGTGAGCTTGTGGTGATAAACTTGCTGCAGTGACGAACATGTCTGAGACCGCAGCCGAAGGTGAGCAGCTGTTCAAGTAGCGATAACCATCCTAGTGGTAACATAGAGTGAGTCATAGAAAAACGAGACATCGAGACACACAAGAAATCAATGAAATAGCGTGGGAGAGATAGTTAGAATAGTTTTAATTAGAATTAGAACATGTTTTCTTTCAAATCAAACATAGGCTATTCATAAGATATGAGTGGAAAGTTTTGTTCTGAAGCTGCATTTATGCTTTTTTGACTCAAATATTGCTTTACAATGTCTTGCAATATGCTACTTCAGTACACTTTACAAATATTAGCCTACTGGGACCACTACAGAAAATTTCAGGTGAACATTTTACAGACTCACAACAAGGGCATATTGCACACATAAGTAGCAAAACTTTTTAGGCGTTTGCTTTGTATTTTCATCTTTTGTGAATCAGACCTTGAGACAGGGCGGGTAGCGCAATTCGTGTAGCAACCAGCCGCCGCAATCCATGTCCTTAGTGAATTCAAGAATGCCTTTTGTGCTGTCAATTATGAAGACTGGGATTGAATTCTGTTCCTCTGGTTATATTAAAATGATTTTACAGCTTTAATCTTTTTCCTGCAGAAAGGTATCTCCAGTGCAGACTGCGGTGTCACCAAGATGTGTTTCAGTCAGCCTTCAAACTGTGACCCTGCTGTCAGTGCTGACTGTTATTTCATGTCAGCCAAGATGTTGTCTCCCAGTTATTCAGCCGTTCGCTATGAGATGACTGGTCCTTCTGATGGGTACATCGCTTTTGGATTCTCAGATGATCAGATGATGGTAATGTGAAGACAAAATGCTTGATTCTATGAAATGTTTCATGTTTTGTAACACTTCTAACAATTAGGCTCTCGATATTTAAAAGGTACACCCATCAGAGGGGAGATATGAAATATTTTCCTTGAGAACCTCAGACTTTGCACATTGTAACCATAACTATATATTGCAACGCTCAAGAACGCTCAGATTATTATACTGTTTAAAATATTCAGCCATTGTTGTTGTTTGTTCAGAGTCTAATGCTGACCTTACAACACAAATCCTGTCATACTGCCCCTAAGCCATATCAAAATCAAATACCATGGCATGTACTGACCACATTCATGTTTTCTAGACGATGAACCATTAGCGCATTGTAGCAGATCTAGGCAACGAACAGGGTAATGAACAAGGTAGCCAATGTAAGGCTCGATTGAATTTCAGTTTATAGTTTATATTGTAGAGGTAGAGAATTCTACGAGTATGAGGGAACGCATGACCAAATCTCAAAAAATCAAATCTTCCGCTAAGAAAATTGGGATTCAGGGTCGTAGCTTTCTCAGCTCGTCTGAAGGAAATTTAAGTACGAAACAGAAAAAAGATCAGAATTTCAAAAAGTAAAGGAAGTTAAGAGAGCATATACGTTTAGTTTCAAGAGAGTTTAAAAAAAAAAAAAAGAAGCAGAGGACAACAAGGCGCTTTTATTTGACGTCATTAGGTAGCCTAGTGACGTCAATTTGGGAGTGGGTCTTAGGGGAAGTCACCCCAAAGGTGTTAAACAAATAAGGTAAACAAATATACGTTGCGCATATTTCCCTTTAATCTCTCTCTCCACAATATCGACATTTGGAAAAATACTCAGTTCTAAACATTCGGATAAAGACAATTAAAACGAGGCTAAACACTATGGAAAAAGATTATAATGGTTATATAAAACGTAACAAAGCTTAATTACATGTCCTCAGCATACTTGCTGGTTACTGGTTTTAACTCAAGAGACAATTTAGATGTAAGCGTGGCAGCAAAATTTTGTTTATGCAATTACATGGTGATAGGTAGGCCTACTTAGCGATCATTGTCAGTAGATCATTGTCGTGTTATACCTTTCCTGTCCCCTTGGTGGCGCTCGGGTCACACGAGAAAACATTAGACATTCCACTTTAACAGATTTACCACTTTAACTGAGAGGCTGGTGATACACACAAGCGTATGAATGGATATTTTAGTAGGAAATTGTATATGAAACATTTAACTAAAGCATTAGTTAATGCTGATCAAACAGTGATTATTAGGGAGTAACAGGGAGGAATCAAGACAAAACAGAAAGAGGTTAGGGAACTCTTCAAGATTACTTTCTTATGGGTCTGCTAGTTTTCAAACATCACTGAAAGGATAACAACAGGGTTATTACTTACTAAACTCAGAGGCAAACGCCACTGCTCACTTAGCAAGGTTATTATTTAAACAGAATAAACACAGTTATAATGGAACCTTGCTTGGTTCGAGAAAAAGGGGTTGTTATGGTCTCTTTTCTTTGCATTCCTGGCTTATCGCATTGGCTATTAGAGAACGAAATGGTGGTTTATGGCTCAGCCGTTCTGTGGAGATAAAAGAGTCAGATTGAGGCCGGAGGTGACCTGAGAAGGAGGGAGAAAGGGGTCAGATAGCCCCCTTTCCTGTCCTGTGGACTGTCTTTAGTGACACCTTTACGGCTAGAAAGGTTCACTAAGGCTCTTTGAATACACAATCCTTAAGCGATGCATTGTCTGACTGAGTCTCTGCCAGTCCTTACCAAACACCAGGTGAGGTCAACTCTCGGGGAGGAAAACATCCCTCCCTCTTTTGACACCATCTGACCTTCTTTGAAGTGCGTCTGGTTGCGTTCACAACACGCACTAAGGATAACATTTGTCAATCCTAAAGCCCTGCCAGACAAACAAATACGCTTTGTTCTGTTCATGTTTTCAAGAGGTCGATTTGAGAATATCCAGCAGGATTGTTATTTCAACCAAACACTTTTCTCAACATCTTGACAGGTTTGGGTTGATATTTGAGAAGAATGAAAAGTAACTTCTCGTGAAAGAGTTTTATTCTTGCCTCTTTCTTTCCTCAGGGAAACGATGACATTTATATTTGTGGCATAGGCAGTAATGGCCTGGTGGGGTTGCAGCATGCCTTTTCAACAGGACGAACAACTCCACAACTTCTTCCTCTGGTACTGAAGTTATTCTGATACCCCTGATTCATATCTGGTCAAGGTGTAAGAATTTCTCTAACCATGAAATATTTTATGCTCTGTTGTTCTAATGGTTTCTTTACTGTCCACCAGGGGAATGTTTCTAATGTAAGCGCATCAGTGTTGAACAAAGTTATCAGCTGCTCCTTCACTTCCATGAACACTTTGTCTACTCAGAGGACTACTGGCTTCAACCAAAGCTACTATCTCATGTTTGTCCATGGACCCAGCAGCAATGGTAATGAAGACATTGTGTAATGGTGGAGGAGGTAGTTATTAATCAGGGATGAAGATGTTACTAACTACTAGAACAAGGATGTCCAAATGTTTCTAAAGTCTTTATTCTTTTTCTACTGTGGAATAAAGTTGGTTCAATATTTTAAAAAATAGCTTAGATTTGGTAAAATACTTTTGCCACGTTGCTGTAGCTTAGCTTGCTACATTTAGCTTCAGTGTTGTGAAACTTAATTTAATGTAGAGTAACTGTTACCTTAGCTAAATACATTTTCTAAGTGGCTTGCCTAACACTGGGCATGATTTATTACTTCTTTATTATCAAACTATTACCATTTTAGTAAGAACTGTAATGTAAAGTGCTACTGAAATTTTTGCTCACATGTAGATAGTGGCAAACAAACTGACCATCCGTTTGACATGGTGAATCATCTAGGGAGATCTGGACTTTTCCAAGCCCCTGTGGAAGTCTGATAATCAGAGCTGTCAGTGGAGTATAATCACTGTGCATTTAAACTGCATGTCCTCCGATACTGTCTCCACAACAACAAAGAAAGGTTTTGCAAACAGATTAATGTACTTATCAATGGTGATAATCTTGAAAGTGCTACATTTTCTGATAAGTGATCAGTCACATTTTTCACAGATAAATTGGCTTCAGGAAAGATACAGTGTGCATTATTGCTATTACTGATTTCAGTAATCAGGAAAATACACATGTAATCAGGAAAAAAGTAAAAGTACGCAACACAAACTGTTCTGTGACTTTTAAATGTAAGATGGTGAGAAATAAGTGACGTTTTTGTTTTGTCCAATCAATAGTACAAAATTCTAAATAATTAAAATCATTTTTTAGTTTTGAGAATTACAAATGTCTGTTGGACCACCAACAGGACACCTAGCTCAGGTTATCTGACCGCAACGATCTAAATGACATCAGAAACACACATGTACACCTGTCTGTCTGAAGTTCTTTCGGGGGCTCCGTACATCCAACCACAAAGAGACAGCTCCCCCGCTCAGAGTCTCGACTGTCACCAGTTCCCGTCCATCTTCCTGCCAGCAGACACCAGTCTCCTCTACACTCTTTTATTCATCAGCCATGGACCCGATTCCTCCAATCCATCCCTTCATCCCTCACCGATCTTCCCGTCACCCCCTCATCCATCACACCTCGACCCTCACCCCCTTATCACTCGGTCTTTTCTCCGGACCTTCAATCCATTCCTCTCACATCATGTCATTTTAGCTCTATTACATGCAGTTAACCAATCTAAATCTACATCTCCGCAGGCGTGGTCTTTGTTAGTGATTAATTTTTTGACTACAATGGAGTTCTATGGCACAGAGGAATAAATTACATCAGGATTTAGATACACACACAATTCTTGTTCGTTGGATCAATTCAATGTTGGTTTGGGTCTTTTCGTGTGATTTGTTCACATAAGAACAATATAGAATATTATCAGACTCATCCTTTAGGGTTAGAGAAAGATTGTGGTTACGGTATTTTTAAAAACAAATGTTAATTGCAGGTCTGTAACAGGTTGCAAACCCAATCACCTGCATGAAAGTGTGAGGCACTACATGCCCGTGCACCACCCTGACCTCAATACCCTTTTTTTCCACCTTGCCAAATGGAAAAGGACACACTACTTAATGCATTGGCACTGAATGTTGGTGGATGTTACTGGATGAAAATTGTTATGGGTGTAAGCCTGGTAGGCCTATTAGACAGGTAGGAAGGTTGGTTTGGCTGCGTTCACTCTGCTCTTGTTTCTTGTCTGAAAGAAACACATGCATCGGACTCTTTCTGTCTGACTTCTTAGTCATCTTCTTAGTGATGTCACTGTGATCTCATCTGTTACTATGTTAAAATAAATGATACATAATCTATCACACTTAACTAGCTGGAGATTTTTCCAAGTATTGCAATGGCTGATGAAATATCACCTTCTTTGCTGTAGTGTGAAAATCATTTCTGTTACTGCTTGCTTCTGTAAAGTGTAACAATATCACAGAAATCTTTCAGCTTAAACAAGATGAGCAGCAGTTATTAAAAAGCTGAGCTAATGATAAGAGTCAAACTTTCACCAATTGTGCTCTTCTAAGTAAACTCTAAGCATCATTCCAAAGCAAAACAAAAAGAGCTGGAAGCGGATCATTCAGCTCTGTCTGTTTCATGCATCTCTCCAACAGGACAAATCCAGATCCATACAGATACCTTCATCAGCCCTGACAAGGTTGACATTTCCAGACCTCAGCTTGTTGGAAAGGATGGATGTCCTGATATCCTCAAAGCACATGGTGAGATTCTGCCCAGGGGGGTGTTTACAGTAGTACTAGCTGATTTTGGTAACCCCTTGGCCTTTCCTTGAAACATCTGCACTGCAGTATAATCAGGATGGGAGTTGGTAACCATCTTTATTAGACCGGTGTGTAAACGTAATGTCACTGTTATATCGTTCTGGTTCTGTTGACTGCACCATCTGCCAGTATATCAATACCCTTTCAGAAAAAGGAGTTGTTGTTAGGTTTAACGGAGTAGATTGTACGTCATGAGAGACTGCTTCACATGAACACAGTCAGGAAGTCAGTTAGAAGACCTTCACATTTACTGCTTGGAGAAGAAGTCTTTGCCCATACTCTCCTCACAGAGAGAAGTTTTGTGTTGGGACAAAAGGATGAAATGGATGTGGAGTCATGAAAAATGTGGTGAGAATTGAGCAGCATTCTAACACTGAACTGTGTTTCAGGATCACTGATGCTGATAGCCTGGATGACCACAGGATCATTGGGAATGTTGGTTGCTCGGTATCTGAAAGGAATGGCCAAAGGACAGAACCTGTGCGGGAAAGATGTCTGGTTTCTGGTGAGACTTCACACCGCATAATTGCATTTTTTATGTATCCCACATTTCGGGAAGTGACCATGAAAGAGCACCCTCTGCTACAATTGTTATTACTAGTCCTATTGCAGGAACATGGGGGCAGAAAGTGGCCCACAACCACAAATCCAGACTCAAAAGGCTCCAGAGCCAGAAACACCTGCAGAAAGTGATAGGAAGAGAGAGGAGCGGGACAAGAAAGCACAAAACTACGGGAAAGGGAAGAAGTCAAGTTAGTAACATGCATTAAAGGGATGAGGTTGCATTCAGATGGAAAGAAACGGGAAGAAAGCGGAGCGCAGTGCATCATGGGAAGTCCCTCCACCTCAGTCTTCATAAATCTTGGTGTAAGCCTGCCTTCTCTTAGGCGCATATCTCCTGAGCTCTGTATGTGTTCGACAATATCATATTGTACTATTTGTGTTACTCCAGGTCCATGTTGCAGTGATGAGTGTAACGGTATCTGCCACAATTGTTGCCTTCATCCTCCCCTTCTCATACGCCAAGGACTGGTCTGGGGTCAGTACAACAGCACTGCTGGGACTCACTACTCTTTTTGCAGCCTCCTTTCTCACGGATCAGAATGCACAAGGATTATGAGTACTTATGTTGTTAAAAAATGAAGCCCAAAAGTGGAAGTGCCAAAACTGCAGTTGAATCCTTAAAGGCCCACATTCATGACATCTGTAGAGGGGATGAATTTTTATATAACTCACCTGTTTAAAACATTAGATTTTGGCTTTGAGTTGAATTGAGAGCTTTTACTTTTTCTGAATGACATTAACACACCTCTGAAAGAGCCGTCAGATAAGAAACTGGGGAAATTAAAAAGTGTCCGCAGCATATGCTTTATTGTGAGCATGTGATTCAGTCGCTGCATAATCAATTAGTTGAAGACGGAAAAATAATTTTCTCCCGACATGAGATCGAACACACAACCCTCTAGGTGAGAGTCAGACACTTTACCAACTAAGTTCAGTATTATGACATATTTTCTCACCCACCACCTAATGGATAAAACAATGTGCCACCTCTGCTGTATACTATTACTACTTATTCTTAACAGTTCATTGTGTAAGGTCTTTATACACAACTGAAAACATAGTTATGGATCTTATATTGCATTTCTGTTACTAGATCCTCAGAAACATTACACACTCGACCTTTTAAGGGGGGAAATTATCACAAATCTGCAAGTAAGAAACCTGAATATTCTATAAAATTATAGTCATACATTAATGAGAGAAACACTCTGAAAATAGTGGGGGGTTTTATCAAGGTTTTTATTAAAGCTACAACATCACACACACACCTCTACCGTGTAGTGTTATGCATGCAGTGGGAAATTACCTCAGAAATGGTGGTGGCTTGCGCACCCCACTGTGTATGCAAGCGTGCTATATTTTCATATCTTTTTAACACCGCTGTGTTCAAGGGCGTCACTTTGTGTTGAAAAGTGGTGGGGACACAAGGGCTTAGATCAGGGGTGTAACGATACACTTGAGTCACGAGACGTGATGATGCATGAGAACGAGACGAGGAGATTTTTAATACTATTTTGAAGAAATATGAAATGCTGAAACATATGTATATATATATAGAGATAGATAGATAGAAATGGTGTCTCACAAAAGTGAGTAAATAATTGTTTATATCATACCAGTGAAGCCATTTGAAATAAACATTGCAAACAGTTGTATGTCAGTGACTGTCACTTGTGCTGTTTGCAGGGAGCCCATCCTGTTTTAGGCTGCCTGGTTGTGATCCTCATGTTCCTCCAGCTCCTACTGGCTCTGCTTCGCTGTGGACCTCAACATCCACAGTAGGTACCCCCGCTGTGTGTGTGTGTGTGTGTGTGCGCGTGTGTGCGTGTGTGTGTGATTCAACAAGTCTTCAAATCTAAATAACAAAATAGATAAAATCGGTAAAAAATAGGTAAAATAGGTAAAATCAACACATTTATCAGTGCTCTGCTGTAACTGGCTTATTCAGGTAACTTCAAGAGCAACTTTGTAATGTCGGGTATAACTTCCCGATTCACCTGTACTATGAAAAGTGGATGCGTTTTACCCGAGGTGTGCTGTCATAGCAATTTACACTGCATCTTTAAACTGCTCAGAGCAGGTTATCTTCATTAGTGTTTTTGATGACTATCACCCCACTTAAAAACTTAATCTTTACTCAAAGTCCACCTACTAGCTTTTCCACACTAATGCTGTCAAACTACTGTCTCGAAGTTCAAGAATATTTCATGCTTAGAAACACAGGTCATTTTGAGCAACAAACGACCAGTACTGTTTCTCCGGTGATCATTTCATGTTGTTCCTCTTTTCTTTGACAGGAGGTTTCTATTCAACTGGTCACATGCTTTAAATGGACTGGCAATAAAAGCTTTATCTGGTAAGCTCTTTCATTATGCACTGATAAATGCTCTGCAAACTCTTTAATAACAAATGTTCAAGTTCAACTACATACATACTGTCAACCCTTGCTACATGTCTCGATGAAGCTGTTTTTATGTCACATCATACAGTGGCGGCCATATTAACTGGCCTGAAGTTAATCGACAGCACTCTGGACCAATGGCTGACGAAAGTGATGGGTGGCTGTGTTGGCTGGGAGGTGTTGTTCTTTATCCTGTTTGAGGTCCATGGGAGATGGAAGGTTAACAGTACCGGTAAATACACCTTCTTATGCTGTTGTTATTTTATTATTATTATTATTGTTGTTGTTGTTGTTGTTGTGAAGTGGCTCTTAAATGGTGCTTATTTACTGATGAGATGAAACTTCAGTGGAAGTCTGAAACACTTACATACTCTAACCTCTGTGACTCTCATTTAAGAGTGCTTATTTTTTATTTGAGGAAAATAACAGAAAATGACCTTGCACCTCTATAACGTGAGACAGGTGTGATGGAGGGGGGCGATCAAAAGTAGCAAAGAAACTCCTGCACACTGTAAAAATAAATGATTGCACATATAAATTTATAAAGCTTATATATTTGAGGGGGAAAAATACGCTCAGTGGTGGTGTCATGTGTCAACAACAACAATAACAACAAATGATGTTGATGATTGTCAGGCTCTTTGTTAGGTTAGATTGCACCTGAGACGAGCATTTGTGCTCAGGGAACCTTTCCTGTTCTATCAGAGTAGAGACCTTGGAGCAGACCCAACCTACCAACAACACCAAGGATCTGAAGTGACCTGAATCTGTGTCAGGGAATGCGCGGCTACAGTCTTGTCTTATCTTACCATTAGTATGGAAGACCGGATGGGTCATATAATTATATTAATAAAATAGGAAAATAAAATAATAAATATATGAATTAATAGACAATTTAATAACTAAATGAAATAGTAGGCAATGACATAAACAAAATAACAACAAACAAATATCATTGAAGAACAGAGTTCCAGTAGTTTTTAATTACATCTTCTAATAGTCAAATGTGCATATTTCAGTTTGATTTGTTTGATTTAGTTGTCATATAGTTTTTATTTGTAAGCATAACCTATAATTGGGATAATTATTAACGCGGACCGCCACATATTGATTTTCCAAATTTTTACTAGGCGGATTTTTTAAATAATTTTTGATTAAGGAGCTGTATTGAGGAGCATACATTCCTGCAGCCATAAGCAGAGGTAGCGTGGGTGCATGGGGCGGCCGACCCAGGGCCCACGCTGGTAGGGGGCCCACTAAGTGGACTATAAGGTAGTAATGTGCAGATCGATCCTAAAGTATCGATATTTCTGATACCAACGTCTCCTGCTCTAGGATCGATACTCATATAAAAGGATCGATATCTAAACTCAGTCATTTGGAGTGAGTGTGTTTTATTATAAGTATCTTACTGTCACCAGGATGGTCTAATTATACTCAGTTGATAGGAACTACTTTTCCTTCCGCCTGTCAAAGTCATGCTTGTGCTACAGCCCTTTACAGCCCTTTACAGCTCTTTGCAGCTCTTTGTCACAATAATAGGATGATGTTATAAAGCAGCAGTTCTGAGCAGGATATTTTTATTATAATATTATATTATTATAATTTATTATATGACAGTAGTTTGACGTCTTGTCATTTTGCAGCTTTTATTTTGAATTGGTAAGACTACAGCCTACTCCTTATTTCTCTCATAATTACAGAACAGGAGAGGGGAGGTCACATTAAAATAGAAAGAAAATATGTAAAAGGGATTGGTATCGGCAATACCAGCCTGGGTATTACTTGGTATTTTATCGTACAGGTATGAAGTTTCATGGAACATCACTACTATGAGCATCACGGTGATATGAGCTGATTATATTGGACACGATCAAACATGACGATCCACCAGATCACTCATGGTGTCAATGGTAAACCGGCACAAGAACGACAATTACCAACAAACACATTAGATTCTAAGGAGACACGCTTAAATAAACATAAATCTTAAAGTAACATTTGTATTTCAAGCAAATGGCAAACTTATTAACACATTTTAACAAAACTCTAACAAAACCCTTCACTCTCATGGATCTTGGGAGGGGCGTAGGCTGCATGTGTCCACTGGAAGCCTCTCAGAAGCATTTCAGCAGCAAAGTGTGTAGCTGCCCCACGTTAAATGACTTATTTTTAATTGTCCTTTTTGTGCTTCTACTACATTCTTAAAAGCTCTCTGTGTATCACTTTCGTTTCTCGTCTTGACGGGTGCATCTTGAAACTGCCACAGGGAGAATAAGAGCGTTTTACCTGCCGGACTTGTTTAAATTTTGTTGATTTGTTGATTAGTGCTTACTTTTCGTGCTTCTACTATGATTAAGTAGGTTACGTAGTAAAAATGTTTCTTTTTTTGTCTGATTTAACTGTTTATTGGTGACATACGATCGGAAGTCTGGTCGTTTCTGTGTCTGACTTCCTGCCCGGTTCATCCTCTGCGCTGTGCTGCTTGACGCTGGGACGCTTCCTGGACGCACTGCGGCGCTTCTGGTGTGAACACAAACATTTAGTAGAATGGCTGCTCCGGCAGCAGCGAAGCAGACAGACTCTGTGGACTTTCGGAGCGAGTCTATGGTCATGTAAACTTGGTTAATATGACTTTGTAGCAGGTGGGCCCACGATGAAGCTCCGCCCCCACTGTGCTAACAGTCTAGCTCCGCCCCCGCCTGCAGCACCTCCTGGCTCCCCCGAGTAGCAGACACCACACACTCACTGCTAAAATGTAGATAAACTGTTTAAATATCCTGTAGCAGCTTTAACAGTTCTCTTTTCTTTGGATTACAGATACTTTGGAACCAAAAAGGGTAAGAGAAAATTGGCTAAAAGTATATTTTAGAAAACAATAACATTTGTAATGGAAATTGTATTTTTTTGTAGATAACAGTTGATGTCCTATTGATGGTTCTGTTCTTCCTGGGAAACTTGACCTTTGTTGTGGCACTGTTGGTTGGAATTGGGACAGCATAAGAAGAGAATGAAGAATGATGGAGGAAAAACAACCTGCCAAAGCATTTCTATTATTATAGACCATGAATTTGCCAAACTGATGCATCGATTTAAATTTTTTTTTATTGAAGTGCTTTAACATTTTCATTAACTATCTAATTTGTAAGATTTAAATGTAGATGTGAATAGTTGTACTCTGTAAACATGTTAGTTAACTCACAACTAATATGAAGGTTATGTAAACATGCGTATGCTTATAAATATGTAAGTAGATAATCTCAGATGATATGCAACATCTCTACTATAATTTTAAGTTATAGTATAAAGTTATTATACTCACCACTTATTGTTAAGTAATGTTGTTTCTTGTATTTTGATTTAGTCCCTACTGACCTGGGGCCTTATATATAAATGTTGTGTATGTACTAAAAAGTTGCGTACTCTGGTTTTCATGCACATGTGGTGGCTGTCTGCAAACTCTGGACCAGCCATGAGCATGTGTGGGCCATCCCGCAAACTCTTGTCTTGCTCTGTCAGTTGGCCACGTGCTTATGGAATAGTGATGGCTCATAGGCACAAATAACACTGCTGGTTCACTAGACGCTTATTTCTTGAAGTTTCTCCCCTCTAAATGGAAAAGCTGTCAACCCTTTTCTTCTCTGAACGACATACACCAATAATTAAATGAGAAGCATCACAATTGGATGGAAATGAAGAATAAAATTATTTGACATGAGTTTCTTTTAATATTTTGTCTCCAGACACCAGATGTTTATTTTGAGCCTTATTTATATTCACGACTATAAAAGGTTAAGCAGTCATTCCTTTGCAGCAGCTCTTCAAAACACATTTCTGAATGACAAAACACCAATAATTCGTACAAAATTAAAATGCTTCTTTCTATATATTTTCTCCACACAGCCTATATTTAGCATATACATACAGATTTTGCTGTTTCTTTGAGCTACACTTGTGAAGTTACCATTTGTGGTGAGATTTATCAGAGGTCTTTCAGTGAATTTTACCTCTCATTAAGAGCAGATCTTGTCTCGTAGGCATAGGGCAGCAAGTAGATTTATTATTTTTTTTTTTAATATTATAACTTGAGTTTCTTTTCCTACTTTTTTTCCTAGGAGACAGATGTCAAGTTTATTTTTAAAAAGCTATCAGAAAATAATCTGGTAACTGGTAAAGGGGTAAATGAGAAACATTTTATGAATACAAAAGATAAAATTATTTTTTAATACCTTGTCTCAATTTCCCTCAAACACACTGCAACGCGTCACTGCTCACACCCGCTGGAATAGTGTAGTGTTTGATTTCTAGGTAGCTTATTTGAAAGGTAAAATGTCTATCTAGGGATAAAAATTGGATTTCACGACTTTTGTTGATGGCTTTTTTCCAGTAATTAAAAGCAATAAATACAATAAATCTAAAGTAAATTTGGATAACAGCTGGCTTTACATTGGGTGATATTTGTAATCAAGATATTCAATTAAAATTTTCTCAAAACCTCTTTATAGAAATGATCAGAGCAACTTGAGCTGCGTACACAGAAACATACATTAGTGATATGGAATGCAGCAGCAGCAGCTGTATGTTTTCAATACAAAATAGAGTTTAGCACCTACATTTGTCTCTTTATTCAAAATTTGTAATTTTCAAGGACAGTAAGCAGGAACAGGTTAATTGATGAAACAGATCCACTTTCATCACAAACTGAAAAACTTTGTATTTAACTGATAAAACACACAATGTTTTTTAAGAGTAAGACCTAATGGAATATGAACGAAAACAATTTCACTTCAGTTTCATGTCTTGTGTTTTTAAGACAAATAACTGCAAAATGTGTCTTTTTGTACAGAGTGCTACTAAAAGCAAGTAGACAAGTGGCATATTGTTCAGCATCAATGCTTTGTCAAGAGACAACTGTAATTATACCAATATCTAATCATCAATGTTCCATGTGCTAATCACTTTATCACAACATTAACTGAAATTTGTGGTGATAACCAAGTAGTAACACTTGTGTTGTCAGTCTGCAGATGTCTGAAATATATCATGTTTTGTGTGTGTGTGTGTGTGTGTGTGTGTGTGTGTGTGTTGACGCATGTTTAACCCCTGTTGTTCTGCAAGTCTATAAGACTCTTATTGTACTCTGACACTTGTCGGAGGACGCTCTTGGCCACTGAGTCGTAGTCACTCTCCTGAGTTTTCGAGGCGATGACTGATGCTGCAGTTAAGGAAAGGTCACTGGTCACTTGTGTAACCAATGGGTGGCTTTTACAAGGACAAATCACAGAACTGTATCTTTTTGAGTGGCAACACTGCACTTCCTGTCACACACAGACAAAAACTAGGTAATGAAGAGATAAAGACACCGACATCAGAAGGATACACTCTTTCATTACAAAGTTGTTCTGCTCCAAGTGTTGCCATTTCCTCTCAAGGTTAGCCAGCTAAAACACACAGGAACAAAAAACACAAGATTAGGATGAGCAGAATAACACACAAGGTCTGTAACAACCTACAATGGTTCAATTGCCTTTCAACAGTATGTACTAAGGAAGGAATGCACATGTTTTCTACTGTACTGACTGTCCAATTGTAAATATTGAGAATATTATTAGCAGAGGATGAGAGTCAGGTTAAATGTTTTATGCACTGCAGGAAGTCAGAAATCCTTACATACGAAGTATATTTGAAGTTTTGATCACTGCAGCAACGTGTTTGAAGTCATGGCAGAGTGGCATCTGAACTATGAAAAATAAATGCTATCCACTTGCTACACTACTCAATGTCAAAAGCTACAGTAGTGATGCTTAAACCTGAGCGTGAGTCTCGTTTTCTTGCAGTTTGGTCTTCAGAGCTTCATAATTCTGGTTCAGTTCCTTCAACAGCTGTCTGAATGAATCCAGACGCTGAGTCAGCAATACTCGGTCCTGCTGTAGTCTCTGCACCAGAACATACATGTGGTTAGGCTACAGTTGCTCTCTTTTGCAAAACAGAAACGCATAGTTTAGAGTTGTGTTTAATTAATCAACAGTAACGATCCACATTGAGCTGATGATGATGTCTGTAACTGCAAATAAATATGCCTAGCAAAATACAGAGAGCCCCACACAAAGGCTAATAGCTATATACAGTGCTCCAGTGGTACCTTTTTCTTCTCGTCCGCTGTGTGCCTCACAGTGTCCAGGTCTCGGTAGGTGTGCAGCTCAGACTCCATGGTGCTGACACGCTCCTTCAGGGTGCTGAGCTCACCTGTGATTTTACCCTCCAGCTGCTGCACCTTCTCCAGGTCCTGCTGCAGACGCTGGGACTCTGGGTGGTGGTTAGAAAGTGATAGTTTGGGAGTTAATATTTGCTTGTTTGGCATGTTAGGTTTTTCAAAGGAGGCATACTTTACTGGTTGGTGTGTGTGTGTGTGTGTGTGTGTATTACTGACCAGTTGTCAGCCCTCTGGCAGTGCTCTCTGATTGGACCATCTCCGTCTCCTTGCTGACCAGCACTTCCTGGATGTTCCTCAGTTCACTGGCTGTCACTGTATCCACCTGACGTAGCCGCAGCATGTGCTATATACCCACACACACAGTCGTGTTTCCATTACTTCAGAGGAAATTTCATCGACTTAAATTCATGTACTGGAGACTTATCCTAACCATAACTACTACTTGCCTAACCTTAAACCTTATCCTAATCTTTAAAGCAAGCCTTCATCCTAAAATTGTATCATTGATGTTATGGTGTTTTATGTACCCACAACACGAGTAACACATATCCACACACACTAAACACTTAATCTTCTCTTACACACTTCCTTTACCACGCCCCCCCCTCAGTAGTTTCTTTCTCCAACTACTCCTCACCCCTCCTTCTTTCTTCCCCCACCTTGCTTATTTACACCACTGTTCTTTTATCTCTCTCCCTTACTGTAATATTTACATTCCTTCCTTCTTGCTATCATTCCCCGTCGCCACCTCTCCCCTTCGTCCTCCTCACCCTGCTGCAGTGTTCCAGGAGGGAGACGATGTTCTCCTGGCTCTGTGATATCTTCTCTTGCTCCTGAGGCCTGGACTCCTCAAATGACTCCAGGTACCCTGAAACAAAAGAAGAATTAAGTAGCAGTTACTACTAGCTGCATGTAATTATACTTAAACAAACATCGTGTTGTGTGGATACATTAAAGCTTCTATGTGCAGGATCTGAAAATTCTCCGACTTTTCTGACTCCAGTCACGTCACGTTTCCATGTATCTGGGTCATCCTTGATATCGTTATCTATTCATGCTATGGCAACAGCTGTGCATGTACATGTAGCAGCCAGTAGCTCCTTTTTCCTCCCTCCTGCATTACTGGTGAAATATCATTGAATGATGTCTGTTGAATTATGATTTAACAGGCTAAGCCGTAATTGTTCAAATGAACTGATCAGGAGATGTTGACTATGGAAATGACCTGCAGCTCCTTCAAACTCCAAAAGCCAGGGTTTGGATTAAAGAGCAGTGGACCTTGAGACGATCCACCCAGCCAGATCTACCGGACCAGGCAGCATGGCGGGTGCCCCAGAGGAGGGGAAAGAAAAACGGAGGAATGGGAGCCATGCTGGTCCCGCTCACTCAGCTTAAGGCTGCTGCTGGCTAAGGTCCGGTCTGGACGAAATGACCAAGCAACAAGAAATCAGAGACCCGTATCTTTACAGAGACCTGCTCCATCATCCCAGATCAAGCCCTCTACAGGCGGACTGTGTTCTGAGTGCGAGACTCATCGGCAATGCTTGGTGCTCAAACGCAAAGGCGTTTCCTAAATGTCAGGCTTTTTATGTGAAAATGAAAACCATATTATCATCACTATCTTGTTGCAACTGGTTTATATTCTTGCAGACGCACATTCAAAAAATGCACTGCAGAATTATTTCCTGAGTGTATACTATTAACTGTATATATGGTTTTATGTATGTGTTAATTTTCTGCAAAGTTATATGTGTGTAGCATGAAGGGCCTACAAACTTTCATTTAGTTATAGTTTATATATGTATCGATAAATACACTACCTTGATATTTCCATATTAGTTAAACATTTTAGATTTAGAGACATCAATATTGTAATTGTAATATGACTTGATATGGATTCAATATACAGTAACTCGATATTTTCTTACTAATAACCTCTTCTTGCTACCATTTCTCTGAGATTATTATCCACCTACAATATTGACACATTATTGATATCTGGTACTGGGTAAATATTACTGTGATTTTTGATACATCACCCAGTCATGTAGGTACATCAATTATTATAAATGTTCAACTCACGGTCAATTTCCTCCTCTTTCTTCTTCAGTTCTTTGTATTTCTGCTGACACTCTCCTTATGGACAGACAAAAACAATGGTTTAGTCCTATCTAACTAATCAAACATTTTAATAATCATAATAAAATAATATTCAATAATAATAATAGCACATTTTTAAATAAACACCTCACATCATATCTCAGTAAATTAAATATCTTTGTGTTTCTTGGTTGGACAGAATAAGTTGTTGGTTGTGATGGACATTTTTCAGTGTATTATAGACCAAGAAATTAATTGTGGAAACAATCAGCAGATTAGATAATAATAATAATAATAATAATAATAATTAGATAATCACTCATTGAAATTATTGTGAGTTTCAGCCATCCATCTGTTCAAATAAGGGATCGACAGTATTTGTGCAGTTCACACTGTAACACCTG